TCGTTGGCGGCTAGAAAAACCTCCCAGGGGTCTAAGTCTTCATCGTTGATTTGAGACTGGGCCATGCGAATGACCCAGCTCGAAGCCGTGAACTTGATGCTAGGATCGCGTCCACGACGCTGTGCAGCATCCTCCAGATCCTCGTCTTGGTCCGAGTCTGCGGACATCACCGACATAGCACGGGAAGCTGCCAAGGACCCTCCTGTCCTCGTCTGTTGAACAGACGCTGTTCTACGTCGATTCTACGTTACATGGCTCGGGCTTAGCTTGCCGGATCATTGCCTTAGTTGAAGCTTTTGCCAGGGATATTCACAACAACGTAGCAAGACAACAACCTCCTGTTCGTTAGCTCCATCCAAGGCTTGATTTGCTTAATGGCTACATGTCCGCCGAAGTTGGCGTGGAAATGCGGGTTGCATCTGGGATCACACCGTACCGATGGATCAGCCAGACAACCACTGCCAAAAGGACTCCAAATGCGCCCAAAAGAACAAAACAGCGTCCGAGAGCTCACGCACATTCCCGAGGCACAGGCTGGAATTTCAAAGGCACCATCAAACTCAGCCGTGTCGACCTGCAAGGCGAGCCACCATGGCAGTGGTGATTGAGAAGTGTCACTGAGGAGCCGATGCTCAGGAAGTTGCCTCGCCGCTGCCGTCGGAGTCTAGGAGCTTGAAAAGCTCCCGCAGCTCCTCGGTCGTGAGTGCACGACTTCACGGAGTCTGATGCAGCTGTTCCTTGAAAGCCTGACCTTTGAAATCCCCACCTCGATTTGCTTCTGCTTCTCCTTCTCGGCCTCTTCAGCCCTGTTGGCCTCGTCTTCCTGCCGCTTTCGGCTCCACGCTCCTGCGAGCTTAACCTGTGGCCGGGCGCACGCTCACGATCTTCATGGAGTTGTCGCAGATCACCGCGGTCACCAGGTTCAGGATCACGTATTGCGACAATGCCTTCAAAACGACAGGCTGCACTGTCGATCCCTGGCCCTCCGCTCCCACCTGGAAGGCGAACAGGAAGATCCAAATGTAGGGCTGGCCCTTGCAACTTCGAGCTACAGCTATGCGACGCTACGCCGAGCTTGAGACTTCTGTGTGCTTCGTGGTGGCTGAGCCCAGCACGTCGTTCGGGTACGGGTTGCTGGGGTCTCTAGCCCAGGGCACCTGATGCACAGCTCGGCTGGAGGCTCATCCACTTTCTTTCGCTGCTTCATGCACTCGATTCTGTCAGTGGGTTTCTGCTGGGATGGGGTGCACCCTGGTACACCTTTATGAAGCCTGCAGGGCGGTGTGAAGTGTTCGTGCGACTCTAGGACCAGCTTTGGATCCCATCTGTTGCGTCTCACATGCAAGCTCAGCTGTGGAGCGCCCAGACTAGAGGCATGCGGTCCCTGATCTGAAGCGAGAGCCTGCATGAGGTACTCCACAATATCCATGGCACCGTCGGAGCTGTGCAGGGCCGTCAAGACGGCAGAATTCGATTCGCGTAGGTGTTTCAATTTAAGCCACCCGCCTCATGAAGCGACTCATTGTGAACATCGCACTGCCTGAGCCGGAGGTTGTGTGCTCGGCTTGAATGCTTGAACTTCATGCTCCCAACGAGGTTCGTTCCCGAAATCCGCCGCGAAGGCAAGGGAGTCCACTACGATAGCCCCTCCGGTGCAAAGAGCTCAGTCCAACAATGTCGGAGCCAACCATTGCAAAGTTTTCGCCTTCCCTCCTTCTTTGCATTTACGTGCCTGAACTCCGTGGAAGCAAACTCCTCCGAAAAGCCCGAAACACCAGCCAAATGAGACTTCGCCAAGACACGGATGGAAACAAACCACCTCGGAATGGCGTCCTCCCAGGCCGCGTGCAGAACCGAAGCTCAAGTCTACTACTAGCTACTAGCACTGTGATGTACTCTGTGTCTCTGTACGTGTCTGCTGGTGACGGGTTCGGAAGATGGGAAAGCTCAAGGCTTCGCTTGCTCCCGCGCTGCAGACACCTCCGGCTGGTAGGTCCACACTTCTGCGTAACCGATGAGATCCACCTTTGGGAATGCATACTGTTGGCAGTGGCTTATCATATTCGCCACTATTCACCTCCGTTCTTTCGAGTCTTAAGAAGTCTCCGCTTCACTTAGCAGCTCTTGTCAATAGAAGTGTAGCAGTGCAAATTTCTGTTCAGTTGGCCCACAGGCGATGGGGATTGCGATGGCGATGACAGAACACCTTCAAATCCAAGCCTAGATTGGACTCCAGAAGCAGGCTTAGGCCAGAAACTCCAGCAGCACATGTTCACCCCCGCAAGGACCCCGAACCACCTTTCAGAAACCGCCGTTTCTGTCGCAGTGGATGCCCCGAAGTCTCAGTCTCGCCTGAGCAGAGCTAAGCCCATGGCAGCGATGATGCTGAAGAACAGCCTGAGCTTAGGATGTCTCGTGGAATGGCGTCGTGTATGGCATGTCCCCTTTCAAACCTCACGCCACCGAAAGCTCCGAAATCAGCTGCCCTCGAAGCCTCTGAGCATCCTTCACCCTGGAAGTTCTGAAGCCGCAGACTTCGATCGAGTGCGACTTCGGGGCACAGAGGTCGCCAAGAGGAGACACGACCAGAAAAGCGTCCCCGCCGAAGCAAACCTGCAGAGCAAATTGTTGAGCAGGGGATCTGCTGCGAGAAGTCCAACACATCACATCGGACCTGGTGTCAAATGCTCCAGAAACTGACGGGTCTTGCTCACAGTCTGCTTTATGTAGTCGTGTCCGGCTGGTGCACCACCCAACCGGCCAGCTACCGTACTGTCGTCAGCTACCTCGTGAGATCTCCAGGGTTAGCTTGGTGCCCGACAGTCCAGAGAGGAGGAGCCAGATGACTTTGAATCCCTGCAGGGCGGCATTGATTGGCTTCAGCTCTGTTTCCAACTGATGAGTGGATGTCCGTGTCTCCCTCCTCAACATGGGCGATTGCTACATTGCGCAAACGGGGTGCATGGAAGATTACAGCATGTGCTGGTGCGGCTGGGACTGCAGCTGACCGCACCAGAGGAAGTTTGAAAATTATGTGCGATTCAGCAGGCACAGCCTGGAGTCTGAAGACGACTTGCATGTTGGCATGTCATGTGACCAACAGTCACATCGGTCACATAGATGTGGACTACTGGCTACAATACCGACAATGCGTGTCAAACTTCGCAGCTTAATGGTCTCGAAACACTGACCGACCATGCTCAGGACAGATGCGACAGTTTTGTAATCTGCTGCCTTGACATTCTTGATGGTATGGATGACCTTGCCAATGCGGAGCATCCTGTGACAGGCCGTACCACAGAATGCCCTCCCATTTCGGATCATCCATGGACGACATGGACATCCACGCATCTTCCGGCTTGCGAGGGGGCAGAACGGGCCTGACCACGATGCGCACCTCAGATGGGGTCGCTTCAGTACGAAAGCCGAGTCGCGACAGAGTGAGTCTCCTGCGATTTCCACAGTGTCACCCAAGGCAGCGAAGAAGAAGGGAGCAAAGACCTGAGGAGGAGCGGCTTCAGCCCTACGGCTCACTGTCCGCCGGTGCCCGCCCCTTCGCAGAGGAGGCAGCAGCCACGGTGAACATGATGTTCAGGGGCTCCTATGGGGGCGACATGAGCTCGTGCTCTGGGCAGGTTTAGAAAGAGTAGCGGCTGCCTTCAGCCAGAGCGCGCCGCCCACGATGAAGCGAAGGACCTGAGGAGAGCGCACAGCCGGAGAGCTCAAGGCTAAAGCATACTCATGCTTTCACAACACTGACGGCTTGCCCTTCTCCCTGCTAGGATGGCGGCCCACTCTACTAGGAACGAAACATTGATGATCCACATGCCTTGACCATGAGCGCGTGGAGGAAGTCTCACAGAAAGCAGGCGGCGCAGCTCTGTTCTGATGCTTTCTCGGTCCGGCACAAAGATCGATCCACCTCGCAGCTGACAAGTTTGCGGTTGCCCGAGTTGGGACGGTGCCTGGGCTCCTGGCACGGGCTTCGGCGTGCTGCCGTCGTTAGGGTCCCAAATTTCTGCCTCAAGACCGGCGACAGAAGGACAAGCACTGGCTGCTCAGGCGGGCCATCCCGCCTCAATGCCCATGATAATGGCACTGATGAGGATCGTCAAGGTGGACTTGGCGTTTCGACACTGGGCCGAGCACACAAAGTGGGCACGTCTCGGAGCGCCGCGGCTATGTCAAAGTACATATTCCGCACCAGTGGCTTCAACTGCCTCCGTAGCCTGACAAAATCTTGCCTTGCCCACACTGCAGTCTTTTGAAGATGTCCCAAACATTACAGTTTTCAGCCTTCGGAAGGTCTTGTTGTAGCAGGTGTTGTAGCACGGCCGCAGCCATCGAGGGACGCCCAGCTGCCTCCTTGCAGTGCCAGGAGTCCAACTCTGATGGTGGACGTGCCGGCTACCAAGGCACGGGGTCCTCTTGGACGTGTCCTGGCAGACAACTTGAGAGAAGCCGAGATGCCACATAGGCTAACACCGGGCCCGCTTCGAGATCCTGGCCTTGAAGTCGTAGCCTGAACAGGTGAGGAGTGCCTTCATCCTCGAGGGCTTTTGGGTCCCTGTCGTACTTTGCTGGCCGAAGAGCTTATCGCTTCGGTGGACAGGGCTTGCGCCAACGCCTGTCCGAGCAAACTGGACGCCTAGCTCCTTCTTCAACGAAGAACAGTTCGGGTGTGCCTCCTCCTTCGCCTCTTCCTGTGCGTCGGCCTTGCGCTGCTCTACATGAAGCCCAGCCCACCGTGAGCTTTGTTGGCTTGTGTCGTTTTCATGATCAGGACACCGTAAAAGCAGCGCCGTGCACACCCCCGAGCTCGAAATGCGAACAATAATTAATGGTAGAGTTGGTGGTTGTCTAGTTCCGTCGGCTCACTTGACATGCGCAATCGGGTAAGTTGTCTTGTGGGCAAGTTTGCCAAAAACTCCACGGTGGCATGAATTGGCAGTACGGAAAGGGACGTCGAGGTCACTTCACGGCTCTTGGAAGCTGCTTTCTGCCTCGTCTTGGCGGCCGATGGCGAGGGACTTCCTGCGGGAAAGGTGGCTGGGGCAGCTGGACCGAGTTGACCAAACGCCCAGGTACCGTCTCGCAGCCATCGACCGGCCTGAACCCCTGGATGTAGGTACCATGATGATTGCAGGTACCAGAATCACAGTATCAGTATCAACTCATGATCCTGTCTGCTTTGCAAGGATCGTTCGCAGAGCAAGCCAAAGAGACTCCAATAAAAGAGCGACAAAAGAGATGGATAGGGAGATGTGAGGGAACGAGTTCAAGGCAACTGCAAAACTCTCTGACCTTTGACTGCCCGGTCCCACTGCTTTATGCGCTTCTGACCCTGCAACTAAGGTCCTTTGCTTCTCCGCCAACATGGTAATGCGCCTTGCCTGATGGTGCGCCATGTTCTACGACTTTGACTGGCTGCAGTGCATTCGTTGCTGAAGCCTTCTCCGAGTCCATGGTGCCCATAAGCACAAAGCCGGACTGAAAGGTGCCGGAGAAGGGGGCACAGCCCAGACACCCAGGAAAGGGCCCACTTGTCTGTCGCGCAATGATATGGCCGTAATCTGCTTGTGACATGAGGTGAACATCTGAGGTTCTGTTAGATGGGCGGTGAATCACCTGTATTCTCTTCCATGACACGGCCCTCCCCACCCCAGATCCATGACCATGTCTTGCAGAGCCAACACGGCCAGCACCAGTCACCACGCACTTGCCGAAAAAAAGAGTCGCCAGCCAGCAATTGCGAACAGCGAGCCTTCATTGCCCACGAAGCCCACTAACGCGGGACGTGTTCTGCTCTTGTGCCCAACCCCCTTACTCCCTCGGCACTCCCGGCAACCAGACACAATTGAATGTGACGAGGAATTGAAACTAGTCGCCGATGGTTGGCAGGCTTGGCACTAAGTCACTAAGCTCCCCCTGGGCGCACAAGTTCACCAACCTCTCCGATTTGCGCCAGGACCTGAGCTGGCGAAGAGGCAAGTAGCTGAAGCTTCGTGCAGGCGCTTGTCACTCAGCACAACTGTTAACTGGCTATCAAACATGTCCTTTTGTCGCTCATGGAGCGTGGGGCGCTTGGCGCGCACCGCCTCGCCGACGGGCTGCGCACTCCGCTTCCTCGGCAGCGGCATCCCCGACACAGCCGCTTCCTTCCCTTCCCTCGCTTCGTTCGTTTCACTCGCGTCTCCGCGGGTCACTTCCAGCATCTGCAGCAGCTGCAAGCCTCGCTCAGTTTTCGGGTAGAAGCTCCAGGCAATGACCCATTTCACATTCCTTCCCTGGCAGATCTCGAACCTGCGCCGTTTCGCACCGAGCTCACCCAAACGTTGGTGAATCGGCCGCATGGACGACTGCCTGGAAAGCAGACTCGAAAACCAAAGGCACGCCAGCCGGAATCGCTTCCTCGCGCTCTCTTCCACGAGTCGCAAGACAAAGCCCACTTCGCCCCCCTCGCAGCACAGCTCTACTTCCTGGCCCTGGTAATTCTTTTTGCTCGACGGTTGCTTGCCCCTGCTAAGGCGTTTCCACTTCGTCGTGGCCGCCTTTTCTGCATGGTCCAGGGACTCGTGAAACGGCGGGTTGCAGATCGTGAAGGCCAGGGACTCCCCACGACGCAGGACACCCTTCAATATCTGCTTGGGGTCCGCTTGTCTCCTTAATGTGACCCTGCTTGAGAGAGAGTTCGCAGAAAGCACGTCCTCGGCATTCTGGAGTGCCACTTCGTCCACGTCGCTGGCAATGAAGCTCCAGCCATACTCTCGAACTCCAAGCAAAGAGTAGATGCAGCTCGCCCCTGTACCAATGTCCAGACCCCAGATGCGAGGCCCAATGGCTTCCGTAGCTTGCTGGTCATCCCCGGCAACGATGGAAAGCGAGGCATTCAGCAAATCTGCTATCGTGTGGACGTAGTCTGCCCGCTGGGGCACAGGGGGGCACAGGTAGCCGCTGGGCAGAGCCCACTTATGAACGTCGTAGAACTCTGCTAGCAAGCTCCGGGTCAGCTCCTCCAAAGCCTCCTGGTTCGAGTAGTCGATCGAGGCGCCGCCCCAGGCATTCTCGAAGACGAATCGCTTCAAGCCTGTCTGCCGGGCTGCCAAGTCCCGGTAGTCAAGGTACTTGCGGTGCTTGTTGCGAGGGTGCATGGCATCCAAACCAAACAGCGATCCTATTGTCTTAGGCTCATCTTGACCAATGCATCTAAGCCGAATTAGACTCTCATGGGTTGTACTAGTAGCTGGGTTGAGCATGTTTCTGGGAGTTTCTTGCACAGCGGCGAAAAGAATGAAATAGACTGTGGGTGTAAGGCCAGCTTCGCTGAAGCTCATTCTTGCTCTGGTGCTCTCACCGTCGTTTTTCTCCTGATTGCGGATTCTGTCACAAGGAACCCCGATGCCAGAGGCACGGGCTCATCATGGCCGAGCCAGCAAAAAGGACATGGGCGGCTAGGCCTGCTGTGACGTTAAAACGCGCCAGTAACAAGCACCCGGCGCCAGCGCGCACGCGCGGCCTATGTGCCTGGGGTAGCCCCGGCACTTAAAATCGGAGACAGGTTCGGCTGGCCTTCGTCATGACCGAACCCATCCTCCTCTTGAAAATTCTCAGGTTGGGCACTCACGAAGAACACAAATCCTGATGCCTGCTTCCGCTCACATAAAGGTGCACTTGAAGCGTCGTCATCAGTCTCTTGTTTACTTCCAACGGTTGTTGCCACTGTCTCCTGCCAACTCTTACTTGCCTACGTCTTGCTCTTTCGTGACTGCCGAGAAGCCGTGATCTTGGCACGAAGCAACTAGCCCTTCATGAACTTTGCCAGCGGAACGGGCTGTGTTGGCCTTGGGACATTGTTGTCGATAGGACTTTCTGAGGCTTCGAACAACCCGGAGAGACAGGGTGCTTCGAAGAAGCTCTCTGATCAGTCTGACTCACAGAAGGGCACTTGGGTATGATCTGAATCTGCATTCGCCAATGCCTCTTGGACACACTGAAAGCGATGCGACGATGCTTGCAATACCACGAATTGCTGCCAAAGCACGGATTCTGCTGTGGTTTGTCATTACACGACAAGATCGGGCGCAGGCTGAACGGTGGTGATAACGGAACTTCAAACTCATCATCTGAGTTCCTTGAACCGCCAGAGGTCTGCCGCTGGGTCCAGGTTTCGACCAAGGCTCAGGCAGCCCATACTTCTGCGCGGCCGCCTCGCCGTGCACATCCACGGTGTAGTTGGCTTGTGCCTGGCTAGAGGCCGGGGCAGTGAGACTCTGAGGCTCTGAGGCTCCCATCCTGTCGCCCATAACCCGATCATCAAAGCAGGTCAGGTCCTGCTCGGAGAAATTTCTATCGTGGCCCCTGTCTGCCTCGCTTCTCCAGTAGATCGGAGCAGGGCCACCGACCTCTGTCACGCTCTGGCGCCGCTCAGAAGTCACAAGGTTGGAAGCGCTGGGAGGCTGGCGAAGTTGGACTTCAGGTCGTCGTCGCCCGCCACCAGCTTCTCGATGGCCCGAAGAGACCCCTGCAAAATTCCAGTATCAAAAAATGAAAGACCTTCGTGCAGAGTCTGGCAAGTGATCAACTTCAGATCAGGACGACACACCTGTCCCTGCGTTGCCGAATAGTCTTTGTTCATGTACCCGCCAAGCTTGTTGTCCTCCTGCGCGCGTCTTGGCTTCAGAGAAGGCTTCAGCCCAGGAACGATGAAAGATAAAACCGCCATCACACCAAATGGCCAAGCCAAACATCGGACTTCGGATCGCTAACCATTGCTATGGGTTGAGAGTGGAACTGACACCTTGAGACGTAGATATATACATATACATATATACATATATACATATTAAGATAGATTTCTTGTATTACATATATGCACGTGTGTATGTATGTGTATATATACATATATTAATATTGCTGTTGTTATTATTATTACTAATATTAGTATCATTTTATTACTATTGTTATATATGTATATATGTAATACAAGAAATCTATGTAAGCTGCAAACCGAGCACAAGTCTAGGGATGTGTGCGTCCGACCGGCGGGAGCCTCCAAGGCCCGAGCTCGTGCGATCATGGCCCAGTACCTCTCCTGGCGAGGCGCGGCGAGGCGAGAGCCACCAAAAAAACTCTACACCTGTGTATGTATGTATGTATGTAT